TATGCACGTTGTGGGCCATAAATCATGTCACGGATAAATGACGTCCATCTTCTCTCTGTTTACCCCTCTCCGGGCCTTTTGGGATTTCCAAGCAACTGTAATCACACAGAGCTCCATCTCACCAATGTCACGCCCCTGCTGTCCCTCCCTTCTCAAAACAACAATAACCTTGTCGGAATCGTGTATGACCTTTTCACCATGGCTTTCGCTGTGACTTCTGCCATGGCCTGCTACGTGTATACGTTTCACGGTAGTAAGCTGCAACTCATGCTACAATGCATGTACTCCGTTGCATGCCTGCGGCAGAATACCTGGCAATGACGACTTCCAAGGCGGAAGCGCATACCACGAACAGTTACCGACGCGTTGTCTGCAATTAAAACATTGAAGACATCGAAACACGACCCCGTGTGGGGTAACGGTACATACTGCGCCTCATTCCAGTGGCGGTATGAACCCACGGCCCGTTTGGGGTGCGCTGTGGCTTGCTCGATTGCACCTCTACACACCTCAATACGCGGTGGAAGGTGTATCGCAACCCAGCAGCCAAGCGTCGCGTGTTAGCTGACATCGTGCGTAACGGACCGCACCAAAGAGCAATACCACTTGTCAGCCATTGTCAGCAGGAGGTCACCCGATGTGAACATAAAAAATGTGCCTAATGTTCACAAATTTATCTTATTTTTATGCGCTTCCTTCGTCCGTTCTTCTCTTTTTGCTTATATGTATTGAGGGGGCTCGGAGAGCATTGGAGGGAGGCTCAAATCAGCATTGGAGGGGGGGGGGGGCAAGCGGTTAAATCAGCATTGGACAGACTAAGGCCCGCCGCCTCCGAAAGCGTTTTAAGTGACGCCCCCGCTCGTCAGGTGTACTTGCTCACATATCCAACACAGCACCAGCACGCTACGTGGACACACGTACAACTAGCACCGGCGCAGGCGCCGCCGGCCCAGACCGGACGGCGGCCGGGCAGCACGTCCACGGAGGACCGCCGCGCCCCCGCACCCCTTCCCTCCATCGGGTGCGCGGCACCCTCGCACTGTGCGGCCTGCTGCAGTGGTGGCATACATACCAAATGGGCCCATCAGCGCGTGCGGCCGGACAAAAGTGAAACGGGCGCCAGATGGCGGGCGGCCGCCCTATCGGCTGCGGCCCACATTCGGCCCACGCCTGGGAGGTCCCGCCGCAGGCACCTTCACGCGTCACGTCCGTCGCACTGCTCGGCGCGCGTCACGTCACGTATGCACGCAGTTGGGGAGAGGCCATGCCAGCCGGCCGCACGTGCTTCGCTGTGTGCTGCGCTGGCCATGAAACCATCAATGGAAGCGGCCGCCCTGAGACAGTGACGACATGCAAATGACCCGCCAACCGGTCCCGGCTTAGCCTGCACGGCGAGCACTAGAGATCGGGCACCGCGAAGCGCCAACAAAAACCGGGTGGGTAGGCATGATCGCCTACATTGGCAGGCTGCGCTGGTCCATTGGCAACCAGCTGCGACACTTCGATAGTGTCCTGCGGTACCCTGCGGGCGACCAAAGGGCGAGCTTTCATACCGTTGGCATCTCAAATTGGACAAAGGGTACATGTTGCAGCAAGGAAGGCAAATGGTCGGCTAAAAAATATATTGCAAGATATCATAAACGGTATCTAGTTGATGCAACCATAGATGGTACCCGCGTCCACGAGTGATGTCCAACACAATTTATTATGACGCAGCGAATAGCGCAGTCAGTTTCCGTAAAGGTCGAGTTCATGCAGTGTCGAATTAACAGTCATCGAAGCACCCACGCGAGTCACAAGATCGCGGGCCCCTACATGACAATTGCGTTGCCCTCAAACACGTAAATGTCTGAGCTCTCCCGAGCGATTCTAAACAAGTGTTCTAAGGCAATTACAAGAGTCGTCAAGTGATCTCCCGCATGACCCTCCGGCAATTGCAGTCCACCACAATCAGCTGACACCACCGAGCAAGGCGTTCGCAGCCGGCCGTTCCCGTGACCAGCCGCGTTGTCCGGGACGACCCCGCGACCTGACCCGTGACCCGGCGGGTCCAGCCGTCCGGCCCCGACACGCCGGCTGCGGCGCCGGGGCCGCCGACGGCGCCCGGCACCGAGCCGCCGCGGCCAACTGGGTCAGTGGCGGCGAAAGTTGTCCGTGGCCGGCCGACAGATGGGCTTTTTGTGCCGCCGCCGCCGCTGACCGGCGCTGCTCGTTAAGCTCATCGCTGGGCGTCCTGTGTCGCCGCTGGGCTGGCGCGCCCCGGGTGTCGCGTGGGTCCGCCCTTCGCGGCTGGTCCTGACGGGTGAGGAAGCGGGGGAAAGGTACGATACGGGGGGGGGGGGGGGGGGAGCAGGATTCGAGGCGCTCGCAGCCTACACATCCGCGCGCTGCATGAGCACAACCGCACGCTTTCTCGCTTGCGAGCGCCACGAAAGTTAACTGGGCATAATGTCGGCGCATTTCAGGCGACTTATGCACGGAGAGCAGCCGTACGTTATCAGCCGTTAACATGCGACGCTGCAGGAAACGCATCTTCCATCTCCCCTCGCTCCATCTTCAACGGTCCCGTCGAAGGTCAGCTCGGCAGCTGGGGGCGGGGGGGGGGGGGGGGTGCCCAAGGCCGGGAGTCATCCCACAGCCGAACAACTGTGCCGTCCGGCCGGACCATGCAGCGCCCGGCGGCCCTTGGCGACCGGGCTCCGGCTCCGCAGTCTGACGTCACAGCCGCGGCAGCAGGCCCGGCGCGGCGCCTCGCGTCCTGACCCCGGAGGACCCGGGCCCTGCCCTGCCGCGGCGCCCCGCAGCCGCGGCTCTGACCTCGCACCGCGCCGTCGAAATCGGGATTGTTTCCGCGCGCCGGCTGGCGGAACGGGGCCGGACGGCCAGACGCCGCGGAAAGGCCCGCCGCCGGAGAAGTGGACCAGAGTTAATGCGGCGTCATTACCCCGCAAACGGCGACCGCAAATCGCGACGAGCGGCGCGGCGAGCCAAGCGAACTGCGGTGGGCCCTCGCTGCCCGGTTAATGGCGTGCGTTTGGCGCGGTGGGCTGTCCGCGCCGGTGCGCTCTGTCCACACCGGGTGGACGCATGGGTGGACGCGAGCCTGTGCGTGTCTGAGCGCGCGGCAGGCGGTCCCGAGCCGTGGTGCGCCGCCTCCGGCCGCCGGGAGGCCTGCGAGCTGTCAACCAGGTCACCGCCATCAAAAGAGCAGCCAGCCCGTGCAAACAATGGGGCTGAGCTCCCAATAGGTGCCGGGCGCTTTCTAGCTGTGATTTCTGTCTGGGGAAGGAGGTCTCCTCTTTCTCGAAAAAGACGAACGCGATGAAGTCTCCCGTTCGTTTTTTGTTCATGCTAAAAACGCAAACTCCTGTACACAATGCAGGGACCGGCTCAAAAGGAACACATATCTGGAGGAAGATGGATGGCGCTGAAAAGTCCGCGTAAATCGGGAAATCGGGTTATATCTAGCGTCCTCAAGCACGACAGAATGGAACTGTTAACACGATAGTTACAAGCAGAAACAACGTGCCAACGGTCCTCTGTCGTGACAAGAGCTCGGCAACTGGTTTGTGCAGGTCAGCAGACCGTTGTCACGGCCGTTTAGTCAGAACACCAGCCCTAGCCAGGACCAGAGCTGGGGGGGGGGGGGGGGGGAGGGAGGGGCGCGCATGCTTTCTACGAGCCGACCTGCGGCCCGAGCACAACCACGGGCCGATCACAGACATACAGGCGGGAGTTCACGTGAGTGCCAGCACCGCTCTGGTGAGGCGGCGAGCGCGGACAGGGCTCATGCCGTCACGCGTCCCCCCCCCCCCCACCCCCACCCCCACCCCCACCCCGCATCACGCCTCATGCCGCGGACATGACTGAGGAACGGCAGTCGTGCTCCTCAATCACGACGCGCAACCGGTCGATATCGGTAAGGCGCGGCAAGGCAGAATTCTGAGAGAAATTGCATGCTAACGACGGAGTGAGGCCATCGCCCACATCAATACGCATGAGAGTGCATGTCGCGTGACCGTTCTTTGACAGGACTTCATTCATTACCGCGTGATCGGTTGTTGATCGACCCTTTCCGTCAAGCAGTTCGCAACCAACCCGGCAGCGTCATTAAATCACAGGGATTTAGAGGCGACGTGCATGCTGGTCGACTATGCGATATCAACAATGGGACGTTCGTTTGGGCCCCATGTCGGCTATTATGTCAGCTGTCTAAGGAAAACAGCGAACGCGCCATTCAATATTTGACAGGACAAAGAGGAGCCGGCACCAAGAAGCCGTAATGATTCGGTTGAACTTCAAAATCGGACGGGAGGAAACAAGGGCGAGTGATAGGCAGCGATAACTGGATCACACGCGGTGGCAGGAGGGCAATGTCTCAACGCGATGCAGTGTCACGTGACCCACTTTTGACGACACATCTTGCGAGTCACCATGGAACGTTGGCGTATCCCGTCCGCCCACCTGAACGCGCGTCATTTATCGGCGATCTTCGCCGCCTATCGTCCGTCATGTCTGCCATTGCCCAGCATTGCCAGTCCTGTCTCTACGAGTCCACTTTTCTGGACTATCTGCTGCTGCTGCGCCATTGTGATTTATTTGGGGAGAACCTGAGGTTTATCAAATCTAGGCCTCTGGACCAGATGTCACGCATTCTTAATTTTCAGCACGTTAATATATTACAGTTAAAGCATCGTCTTACAACAGACCAGACCCACTGCAACTCACTGTGGGGCGACCAACGAAGACATCGGTGCGGCGAGGTTTAAAGAAAAGAAAGCCAGATAGTGCCGGTGTGCTTGTCCAGTCCCAGCCAGTCGCAAGATGCTGCACAGAAACCGGCCGCCACCGTTACGCTACGAGCTCCATGGGCCTGCACGGGCTACACCTAACATGGTCTTCCCCCGCAGCCGCGTGCTCACGCCACGCCTACCTCCCTGTCCCGAGCCTCGCAGTGACGGCAGGTGCGGCGCCCCGCCCCCGGCCGTGTCTCCACTGACCTGAACACGCTGCGGTCGTAGCTGAGCTTCACGCGCAGCTGTTGGTCCACGGCGCGCCGACGCATCACGTGGTGCGGCTCGATGTGCACACCGTGGATGACCTGCAACGGCGCCGCGTGAGACACGTGGCGGCAGACGAGGCGCGCCGCGGTGTCGGTGGACGCCGCACGGCAGATGGCTGCGGTTCGACGGTGCGCTGGCTCCCCAGACGCGGCACGCGATCGGCACTGTCATTGTCGATGGAAGTGAAGTACTCTGGTCGATAGGCTAGCTCAGGGCAGTCGGTGGATGAGGAAGCTAGGGCTCGTTGGGGAATGAGTACAATGCACCCGTGCCTCTTGCTCATGTGACGTTGCTTACAGGCATGCAGTACGCTTGCGGGCAAGCTTTGGCTTACTGCCCCTTTCACGTGAGCGACATTGAACGGAAACGCAATATGGCACCAAATCTGGAAAGCACGAAAAATGGGACAAATAGGAAAGAAACCTGTAGTTTGTCGTCAAGACTATCAGAATAACCATAAATCTTTGCTCCGGAGAAGTTTGTGCTTTAAAATCATGTACCTATCAATCGGTGTCACGTGAAGCAATAAAAATAAGCGAGTTTGTATGCTCATTTCAGCAATCATAGTAGAGTCACATCCACCACTTCCGAGATATTCGGCAGTAGTGGCAGGGGCGTGCCATCGAACGTGCCAAAAAGCACGGGGACCGGGTCCCGTTGCGAGGTCGATGCTTTACCGCAATTGTGCTTGATTAAAGTTGCGCAGTGTCGGCACTCTGACTCACAGCATGCAGATTTAATTTTGACTGACGCCGACCAGGTTTTAAAGAATGGAGTCCAGCCCTCACTTGACTCCGGGTGTCTGGAATAAGTAAATTTCACTATAACTTTGACCCAGAAAATTCTGTCAAATTTCAGGACCGACTCAAGAGTAGCTGATCTCAGCCGCTAACTTTTTTCTTGTGCAGTATAGTCATCTTCGAATTGTTCTTCACGTAAGCTAAGAAATTGGATCGGGATCTTTGGATGTCATTTTGATGATTCTGAGCAAGCGGCGCATGCAAGGTGAGTGTGTGTGGGGGGGGGGGGCGGGGGTTATGGGGCTTTAGTCCCCCCCCCGTTGGGATACAACGCTGTGTTTAATCACGACAATTTGAATTCCGGAATCTGGTGATCATAAAGGCTGGTTTAGTTATCAATCTTTTACAGACTATCATAGGCAGCGACATATAGAGCCCGATAGCCATAATTTGGCAACGAAAATGGAAAATAGCCGATTGAATATGTACGGCACGCACCTGAAATACTGCTGAAAAAATTGCTTACGGCACCAGGGCAAACCAACATCGATAGCTCTGTACTGTGGGCATGCTAGGTACTGACCCTATTGGCGTTCACGGGGTTTGTACGCCTGTTCGCAGACCGTTGGCACTGTGAATGGGCTGGGGCCCGCGCGCAAAAATAACCCACCGGTTGCAAATCATGGCAGCCCCCCCCCCCCCCCCCCCCTCACCTTCCGTCACGAAATCTGGCTGCTCCTGCTCTCGGAGACTCGTTTTTGCTTCAGTGGCTCTGTAGGTGTCTTAAGCCGCCAAAATTACTGAGGAGTTCAGCTCAAGGGAGCCCTGTCACCTCCAAAAGTGGGGGGAAGGCGTGACCCATCCCCCTCCCCTCGGCTACGCCACTGCCCCAGCTCGTGGCCAACGGCCACCGAAACTCCACGACACGCATTCGCCAGCGCAGTGCAGTGCCATGACACTCTCACGTTTTCAGAATGCGGAACATGAACCCTACGGCGACACATGGAGGGAATCAAACTCACAATTAGTTTCGGGATCCCTAGCTTCTGAAACGCGCCTTCAAGGTCGGCGGAACCTCAAGGTGGAGATGGACTGGGGTCAAACGCGATTTTTACCTCGCTGCTTTCCATTCGACACCAAAACATTATAAGGCTAATGTAACAATGGTGCCCAGAGTTGGAACGGGGGGAGGGCTGTGCCTCCTGCCCTCCACCGCCCATGCGTCCCCTCACCCACGCGCCAGCGCGACGCTCAGCGCCGTATCTCACGCGGCTCACCGCTCACAGACCTGGTCCGGGCGAGGGTGCACGTGCACGCAGTGTTTCCTGTGCCCCGCCGCCGTGTGGGTGAAGACAATCCACCAGAGTTGCCACACGAGACCGTCCCGGGACAGCCACATGTCGCTAGCACCGGGGAACGTTGTGTCCCCGCCCTCCCGACTCGGGTTCACAGCTTACACTGGCGAGAGCGCACTCAGCTGACTAGTGACGCCCGGCCAGCGATCGACCATCGGGTCAGTCCACTTTGCTGGCGCGGGGGAAGTCTTTGTGCGTGGTTGCACCTGGCGGGCGGAAGACGAGTTCCAAGCTCAAGATACACGTTTGAAAGAGATGTCTTCCTCTCCAATCACGTCTTCGCATCGGACACCAACCGTACAGCTTGCTCCCTACGGTGGGCACGTTTCCTACAGTTTGTCATCGGTGTGCAGCCCGCGAAGACGATTTCAAGACGATTTCTGGGTTGCCCCTAGGGCTGTAAAAGATACACACTGCGAAAAAGCCAGTAGAGCTTATCCCCGTTCCTCAGTTTATCCTATCAATTCACTATCAGATCAATGTTGTTTTTTTAGCTGGATATGTCGATTTTTTTATTGCCTGTTTTTATTCAGCTCCTCCAGCTTTGGTAAACCATAATTATCTTGCCGCATTGCAGCTCCGCGTTTTTCCCCGCCAAATATTGCAGAAATTTGGCTCCAACCACGGTGAGGGGGCCACAGGGCTGAAAAGGGGCCCATTGATATTAAAGCACCTCCCCCCCACCCCAACAAGATCCTGGATATGGTCCATTTGTTATTGAGGATATGTTTATATATATATATATATATATATATATATATATATATATATATATATGTGTGTGTGTGTGTGTGTGCGTGTGTATATATATATATATATATATATATATATACATATATTTCACATTTTTACCTTCTATGACTGGCAAACAAACCAGACGTTATCGCGATATGAACTCTGCCCCAAGTTTATAGTAAAAAAATGACAAAATCATGCGTAAAATGACAGCATGAAATAAATAGCGTACGTTCTTCGTTTTACCATGTTCCAGTGGACTTTTGAAACCGACAGAACTCAGAAACTTTGTCAGAATTTCTATCCGAGTTGCACGGAGATAGTAGGGATTCCGCGAATATAGATTCAAAGGTCAAAATGGTTCAACAATCTGTATTAGCATGGCCAAACAATGTCTGTCTGGATATGTTCAACATTCAGACATAATTGGTCGGTGGTAAAAATTAAATAAGGTAGTTTTGAGCACGCGCGCTCGCATATCTTCGCACAAAAAAACTCAACGCCAGGCGTTACAGTCTCCTTAGGCCGCGCAGTGTCGGCCCTGCGGCTAACACTAAACTGTGGCCAACAGCTGAACGAAAATAGTTATACATCATAAAGAAACACTTTACAACGCCTTTCGGACACCAATTCGTACTTTAAGAGATATTCTGGGCGCATATTTTACCTGTGCGGCTCTTAAATTGATGACAATAACATACTGGCCTTTTCAGCACCACGAAGTGGTGCTGGAAGCTGGCTGTAGAACTGGAAGAGTAGAGCAAAATCTCTATATTCCGTGCTGATGTACCTGTTAATCTATCCAGAGAACAGCCTCAAAACTTTAAAAAGGATTGGCCCGGTGTTATCTTTGAGCTGGACGATTTTTTTAAAGGTATTCAGAAATGTTATTTTACGATGGTCACTGTTGAGTGCTCGTCGCTCGCCCCCTGGCGTTATTTGCAGTTGCTAACGCCGTTCGGTTTTACGAAAACTGCGGTCCAAGCCGTCGTTATCCTTGCTCCCCGAGATAAAGGACCTGCCATTGAAACTTAGTTTAATAATAATTGAGGCTCAGCTGCTGGTCCTATATCGCGCCGCCAGCCTCTCACCCTCACGGGAAGGGCGGCATCGCGGCGAATCGAACCTCGTGCCTGTGATTTTCCAGACGCGCAGTGGTTAGCGCAGGCGCGTGAACCACTACACTATCGGCAACCGGCGTGTACACTCAAGTCTTTTGATCTAATCTTGCTTCACTAGTCGATTCAGCAAAATAAGGAACGTCCTCAGAGAAACATGGGATAGCCTCGTGCGTTTGAACTGACTACGGGGCACATTGTTGTTCCCGGTCAAGGGCTGAGGGGCCATTCTATCCCACCGCAGCGTGTTTTCCGACCGTCATTCTGGCGACACGGGGCGGCATCCCCGGCCGATCCGGAAGCCCTTAGAGAGATACATCATATTACATTGGTTCGCTCCCTGACACATGAGGTTTTCTGACCTGCACAGTTGACCTCGGCTCAACGCATGAACCGTCATTTATGCAACAACATCCCTGCTCGCCGCAGGCGGTAAAATAATTGGCACGTGGACTCCGCTTGGGCTTAACGAGCCCATGCTGGAATATGGTTTGTGGCCCACAGTTTGGTACTTGGGTGCTTAACAGGGACAGGACTCTTATATTACCCCAATGTGAGCACCAATCATGAGTCCTGATGTTTCCTTCACAGGCCAGAAGGTCACGACCAACGCAAGAGACCCTTTGCCATTCGGGCTCCCGTCCCCGTCCCTGCTGAGCAAATCTTCGCCTGACCTGTGCGAGGCCCCTTGTTGACACAGAATGTCCTGTTAGGCACTGCAGGCCCCTGAACGATGCGGGAGTCCGACCAATGTAAATCGCGGGTCTGGCCGTGTCCCTGCCTGGTAAATAAACCCCCAGAGCTCAGAGAAACACAGAACGACTGTCCGTGATCTCTAGTCGAAATAGAGGAACGCCCTGTCTCAGGGGTCCCTCTCGGTGCAAGAGATCGTCTTACTGACTTTTGAGATCACGACCCCATGGGCGGGGTCCTTACTGTGACCTACAGCCAACCCTTCGGACCCTTCCACCATCCCACTGGGCCCTTAATTCTTGGTCTCTAGAGACCCATCGGCACTTCTTCGGACCCCCTCAACCAGCGCTCCGTCGCGGGCCCGCTTGCCGTCACGGGACCCCTGTCCGGCACTGTGGCCCCTAACCGGTACAGGAGCCCCTCATTGTATTAGGGACCCCGACCATTGCAAATCGCGAACCCCGGCCTCGTTTCTGCTAGGGAAATGGGTCTCAGTGGCTCAGACGGACATGGAGCCGACTGGTCGGTATTCGTGGTTTCTGACCGACTTAGACTACCCCATCGTCTCAGGGGCTCTTCAAACGTTGCAAGAGGACATCTGACTGATATTTCAGGCAACGACTTTACGGGCTGCGATTCGTTATGTGACCGACAGCCAGTCCTTTGGGCTCTTGTGTCCACCAACCGGGTCTTTAATCGTCGGTTCCGGCGGACCATCGGGGCCCTTTTCAGGCCTCACCGCACACTTTCCGTGGTCAGCTCGGGGCCCTCACTTCGACCAGCCCTTTACGCCCTAAGGTCCTCCAATCGGAGCCTTGATCGTCGGATCCGGTGGGCTCTCTAGGCCCTTCGGGTCTCCTCGAACACTGCCTCTGGCTGACTCAGGACCCCTTGAAAACACAGGGCCCCTGTTAGGCCCTATGGGGTCCGAGCAGTGTAAATCGCTGGCTCCGGCTTTATCCCTGCTTGGGAAGTGGGCCCTCAGGCCCATGCGGCCTTGGAGCCGACTGTGCGTTACTGCTGGTGTCTGTCCGAAACATAGATCCTTATGGACTCAGTGGGCTCCTGATCAGTATGCAGGTCCCTCTGGCTGGTATTGGAGTGCCTGGGCCTGCGGCCTGGGCGCCTGGATGAGACCTCCGGCTGGCCTTCCGGGCCATCAAATCGGGCCCTTAACCGTAGGTTCTGAAGGCGGAGGGGCACGTGCCTTCTGTGCCCCCCCCCCCCCCCCCCCACCTGCCTGCGCTACTGCTATCCACCTAGACAGAGAGCTACTAGGGAACTCTGGTCAACCAAATCTTAAGTAGCTATATGCACAAAATTACACGAATTTCAAATTCATATCGCCGTAATCTAGTTGTTTTTTTGTCAGGAAACTGCCTCACCCCGCCCCCAACCGCTGATGGCCCCCAATGTTGGCTTGCCCCCCCCCCCCCCCCATATACCTGGCTGAAATATTCAAAAGGGCAGGACAATTCATTCAGCTCACACAGACCATTTCTGGAGTATTGTTTTCTGGCTATGACATGGGCGGATCCATAGATTTTGTTCAGTGGCACCATCTCCAGATGGCCGGTCAATTTCGAGCAAGGTGCCACCAACCCTATACAAAAGCTCACATTCTGCTCAGATTTTGTTTGTCCCATTTTATGAAGTCGCTGAAAACACTCCACAGAACATACACCCTAGGCTAACTGGTCCACGCCAAAACAGATGACATTGCATAATGCAAGCTCTGCATCGCGTGAGCAGCGTGTAATGTGGGCTGGCGCGATCACTCTTGCAAGGTTGTCATGGCATTGGAACATCCAGCACTTTAGGACCTGTCGTCGACGTTTAGAGCACAAGTATAGTTGGATTATTCAGCTATTTCAGAAGATCACTAGCTTAAAAACACCAAATATGTCTGTTCAGTTGCCTTTGATCAGATGTCCTTACTAACTTCCAGAAATATACACTCGGCTCAGGCATGGAGATAAAGTCGACTTCAGCTTCAGCTTCGGGTTCGAATTCGCAAAGGCGCAGTTTTCTTCAATGACCTTTGGCTCCGCTTCGGCTCTGAGCCACTTTTCACAGTTGGCTCGGCTTCGGCTTCAGCTGCGTGCCATTTGAAACGGCTGGCCTCGGTTTCGGCTTGGTTTTGTTTTAAGCTGAGTTCAGCTTCGACCTCGGCGTCGAAAATAACCTCTAGATCACCACTCTAGTCTTGGCCTCACGCCATCTTGAACCGCCCGCTTCGGCTCTTTGATTCTGCTTTTTCCCTGCAGTTTGCAAACTGACTTAACAAAAACAATCTATACCGTGCTTTCACTCCAATATACCACACAACGTAGCAATCAGCTGCGACGCATATATAGCTTAAAGCAAAAATCAGCGGAGCGTTCTCAGGACCAATTAATTCCTAAAGAGGGTCAAAAGCCAACCGTTCGAAGCACGAAACATTGTGTACCTAAACAATAACTCACAAGACGGGGACATCAGCCTGACAAAAATGTTTCATCTGTAATGTTTAAACTCTGTCTCAGTCACTTCGCAAAATCGTGA